TCCTACAGACTTAATGACCTTCTAATTATCCTGTATTGTAATTTAAACACATAATGAGAAGGTGGAGAAAAGTTAAACGATTTAGGCAGTCGGAATAAACTGATTTATGCATTAAGGTGGCGATTGTTTTCAATCAACACCAGCAGCTGGTTAGAATAACAAAGATATTCAAAGTTTCGGGTAACTAATTTTTTTTCACAGGTGTAATGAGTCTGTACTTTGAGATATTAGCAACAGATTAAGAATGCAGAGTAATATATTAAATATTCACAAATCTAACACAGTTAGTATAAAAAGCAAAGCTTCACAATGTACAAAAATATCTTCAGATCCTGAAATTCACAGTTGTGTTTATGTGGAGAAATCAGAAGTCCAGAAAACCGAGTGCAGAGCGATGATGATGAAACGGAGTGACGGAAGTGACGGAGCTTTGAGAGGAATCAATTAGGACGGAAGGTAATGGTTTGATGGTCTCATGCTTAGCAGCATTTTAGCCTACAGCGCTGCAAAACATTCAAACTGAATCAAAAACGAGTAAAAAATGTAAACACTTTTGCATTGGTAAAACCAAAATACCAGGAAAAGCAAGTACTGTGAAATTAATTGCGGAAAAACAGCAATGCCAATTTCCTTGACTGTCTTAAATGTAGATTTGTACTCATGTTTAAACTAAAAGCTTTTACTCGGTAGTCAGGACCACTGCAGCTATGTGGCCTGACAACAAAACAACTTGGACAGCAAGAGAACATGGTGTTCTCGCACTCTGTGATGATAATGGGACACCACGGAGTCCGTCAACAATATCTGTGAGCATTGACAACAAGTCCCTCATCCACGGCGCAGAAACACATGCCAACGACAGCATGGGATTCCAGGCCGGTTGTTGGCCGGTAAGGATGAAGGGTGTCAAACTAGATGTCCTTAAAGTAGATAGTCATTTCCAGTGATTCATTTTTTATGAGAAAAAATAAATCGCAACACAGAAGCAAGCATGTAGGATTAAGAAAACATTGAAGTGTGAGTGTTAAGAAAACTGAAGCATTTCAGTGAGAGCCATCTTCATATACGGTGTTTCTGGAATTATTTAGTTCTCATTCCAAATTCTTTTTTTTTCTAAAGGACAAAGAGCACATTCCTTAAATTCAAATACGCTGAAATAACTCCAGGCTGGAATAATTTATTTGGTGAAGGAAGCAATGAAACACAAATAGCACAATGAGAGAGGGCGGTATAAATAAACATGCTCCACTGAGTTGCAACCTATCTCTTTAATTCCAAAGGAGAAAAGTTTTAGACCATTCAAAGGATTACTTTTTCAGAGAAAAAGTTATTAATCAACAATTTCCTCCTTATTTCTACTTTTTTAAATAAAAGTCTTGATTGTCTGTTCCAAAGCAGATCTGCAGCAACAGAATTTGACTCCAGCCCAAAGCAGCCCACATGACGTACTAATTAGACCCAACATGCTTTACTTTTGGTATTGAAGGTTTAGTTTTATTTCTAGTAAATTCTAGGACTCGGTTTTGTAACACAGAGATGTCATTTTTTCTAAGTCTAAGTCAGATGTTTTGCGTTTTTCCCAGAGTTGACAAATGTAATGAACATTTTCTTATTAAATCAATAACATTGAGTGCACCTCTAACCTGCATCGATATTAGTTATACTGTTTCCAAAGCTGTACCTTTTTCCTTAGGCCTAAATTTAAGCTTTTCGTTTTCATTGTTTCTTGCTGTTTTTTCCCGCAGTTACTCTGCCGTAGTTCAGAGTAACTACAGAAGAGTTATTTATGTTTAAAAACTCTGAGTTAATTGACTGGCCTGCAAACATGACAAATAGACAATCATACCCTAAGAAAATAAAACAGATTAAAGTATGTTAATAGTGAATTTCAAAATAAATTAAACTTTGCTGTTTTTTTGTTTGTTTTTTACTTTGTAACAACTAAGAGTGAACTGCTTATTCCTCTCTTTGTATTGTCCACTTCTACATTACCAGGTTGAGAACTGAGAAACATTTTCTAAATCCACATTTAAAATCTTTATTTTTGATCCAATTCTTCCTCAGTTCCAAATAGTTAAGATTTTCAAAATGAAGGAATAAATGAGCACATAATGAATGAGTGTAGCAAATAAATAAAGATGGCAGTAATTGCACTTGATAAACTGCAAAACTAGTGAAATAATTCAACTTACCATTTTTCCTTATGTTAATTCTGAACCTTCAAGGTAAGTTTTCTCTCCTGAAAATAAAACCGTATTATGTTGAAATGACACAATCGCAATGTTCAAAGTTGCGAAGAGCGAAGGCGATACATGCGAGAGTTTCCATTTATAATGTATGGACACGGACATCAAAGAAGGCAAATACCCCAGGAGACAAAACTGATCAAAGTCCCGTCTCCCCTATATGCTCCTGCAGCACATGAGCTGCGAGAAGAAATCACGTGACCGCTGCACTTCAGCACTTTGATAAGTACACGTTTAGAAAGCTGGAAATACGGACAGAGAGAAAGATGGACTTTGACTTTTAGAACTAAAGCAAAAGTATATAAAACCTAAAACAGATCTCAAGTGCTTAAAAGTAAGAGGAAGTTGCATCAGAAAGCACCGTGAACATTTAATTTGTTTCTGGCGAGGTTGCAGTAGAGCAAAAAAAATGTTCGATTTAACGGAGGATCATGGTCAGACCAAATTAATTTTGATGCGAATGAGATGAGGCTGCATCTTAATTTAGTCTATATTTAGCTATGGGCGTCGCAATAGTTGTGTGTAAAGGGGGATGTGACCCCGTTACATTTTTGAAAAATATTTGTTTGTACCCTCGTGCCATAAGATCTGAACAAATAATTTTAAATTCACGGCACATCTCTGTGATTGTAGTCTCCAGCAGTTCCATGTTGATATTATGTGTTCTTTAATATACATGCACATCAGCATATGGCATCTCGTTGGAGGCGATTGGCTCCTGAAAGATGTCACGAGAAAATTTTGTATGTATATAAACTTTATTTAACCAGGTAGATTTAAAATCTCAATGAGATTAATAAACGAAAGTGCAATGGACCATAAAACATGTTAAACATTAAATTAAATTTTCTATAATAAGTGATTCTTGGGAATAGGGACAAAATGGGTTTTAATTTTCCCATATTTTTTTTTTATTATTTCTCAACCTTATGTAAGCAAATATGACAAATAATGTTTAGAAAATGTAAAGATGCTAAGGTACAGGCTCCCAGTTGCAATTTTTTTTAAAAAATTACATTTTTAATCAACCTGACCCAGAACTTTGTCATCAACATCTGACAAAAATAAATCTAAAATGATTTTCAAAATACCCCATTAGTGATATTTTTTACTGATTTTACAGAAAAATGCTTCTCAAGAAACAAAAGAAATATTATTTAAAATAAAAAACAACAAAAAGCCCATCTGACGGAGTAGACACAGAACTGAAGGGCCTTGGGTTCCGAAAATAACCCATGATAGGCGAAATCCGTAGTTACCTTTATTTTTTACAAATAAATACTCTACATTGAAACCAAAGAACAAAACCCGTTTTCAGGTCAGCAGATGTGCGTGTGCATCAATCGGGCCTTAATGTGATCCGGAGTCATGTCATTAAAGCATCTCCTCCAAGCTCCTTTGCAAGATTCACAGCTGTATCTATGGCAAAGCGATGGATCTCGTCAAACGAGCCTCCGGTCGGGTTTTGCGATGCCTCTAGCCACAGTTTTTTTTCCAGCAGGCATTTAAAGTTTCAGTTTTCATCTCCTGAATTTGTACCAATCCTGACGTTATTGGCACAAAAGTAGAGAAGAAGTGTGGAGACTGTTTAGCCAATAAGGACACAGAACACAATGCACAGACTGCACAAAAAATTTGCGAAGCAGCGAGACCCTGAAAGGTGAACCGCGCTACAGCGAGGTTCACTGTATAGTAAAAGTCATATTTACACAAGTAAACATGGTGTAACTTGAAATAAAGTCAAGTCAGAAAGGTTACAGCTTACTTAACCCTTGTATGTAGAAATGGGATCCAACCGACACCACACATGTAGAACTTGTATAATTTTCCATAGTCCTCTACGTTTGCCTCAGTCCTCACACGCACAAGGGTTAAGTCTCTCTATAGCCGTGACCTCAACCCAGTTACGAATGTGTGTGGTATTTTTAAAAGTGGTGCAAAGTAATCAACCAGTACAAATGAACTCTACTACTTCCGATGTTTGGTGAAATATACAGCCATATTTTAAGCCAGATGCTTGAATGTAGTCATGGTGCAAATCATATCTGTTGAACTATTAGAGGAGGTGCAAGTGGAACCGTGTTCATAATTTTGACCCTGACTGCATCTGAGAAAATCAATAAATATCGTTTTCACCTAATTTTAGCATTTAAAATTCACCGACTAAATGTAAACTTCTGACTGACACTGAATGCTTTTCACGCTTTCATATGTTTGCTAAACTAAATTTTGGCTATGGTTCAAATGTATGTGTAAAGTGTGAGTCTTTTTTTGCAAAGAATAAAATTATAAATCTTTCAAATGCATGAGCCAGCTGTGGTGGTGGGTGGGAGGTAGGTGGGTCAAGATTAGGTATAGAAGAAATACAATATGACTGGGTTTATAAAAATCACAACTTGGCTGAAATGAATAGTAATAAAAGTTTTACAGTGAAGGGTCATTTGTGTCCGAATAGTTCCAGAAAATATAGAGAACCTAAAATACTAAATTCCCAGCCAGACTTCAGGAGTCACACAGAGCTGTATGAAGAAAAAATGCATTATTCAGTGCAGTCAAAGATATATGTGAAAGTGAATCTTTCACTCTTTTGTCTTCCATTGGTTTTAGGAATAAGGTTGAGAAAAGATCATTTTAGTACATTAAAACATAATGAGATTGCGATACCTGCTGCTCCCCTCGATGTAATGCTTGTGTGCATCATGCAAATCTACTTGACACTCTCTACTAGTGTGAGAGGTAGAGAGTGTTCTCTACCTCTCTCTGCTCCTGCCTCGTCCTTCTTCTCCATCAGCAGGTAGCGGGGACTCTCGGGGAGGAAGGGTAGGACACACAGCTGCATCACTGCTGGAAACGCCAGGAAGGAGAACAGGTAGTTCCACCTGGACTCCTGCAGTCAGAACATGAACAGAACAGCCACATCAAAGCCTCGGACACGGGAGAGCGACAACACACAGACATGTTGCAGAACAGCTGTATGTTGCAGCTGTCATATCGAATGAGTGCGTGCATGGTGGGCTTTGATTAAAAGACAGAGTTAGTTACGGTGTTTCTACTGCATATGTCCTTTAGAATATGCAAAAAAATAATAATAAAAAAATGGCTGCATAAAATATGTATTTAAAAGTGTGTGCATTTACGTCGTAGATGTGAAAAGTGAGTGTGGGTTGAATGGTTTCTGCTTTTGCAATTAAGACCAGAGAGCTTTTTAGATGTGGAAGGCCAGCGATAAAAGCCTGCGTATCCATGGAAAAGTCAAGAATGTCAAGAAAATAAAAGGAATAAATGGTAAGACTTAAATATCTAAGCAAATCATGGCCAAAGTTTTACACATTTGTCTTTATATCACATGGAGGTTTGAATTTTTTGTTTCAATAACTTCATTCATTCTATCTAAAATGTCTAGAGCAGTGTAATTCTGACTTATAGCAACATTGTTGTTATACTAAGGTTAAATTATCATCTTGTCTGTCTTGCATTAAAATGTTGGTATGAAATTTACCAAAGTGCTAAAGACATATTGCAGCAACAAACCAGAAACAACCTGACATAATCTCATGCAGCACAATGCATAGGCCCTGTCTGCACTGATGAAGATTTACTCGCTGGGTGGCATACTGGATGTTTGAAACAGAGCTACTGTCATCACATTTCTGATTAATGACCAACTTTGCAAATGAAATATTCAAACTGGAAGCTCAACAACAGCACATACTTTAAACATGTTAAAGGGTATATTGTTCGACAAAACATACTTTCCTGTTGTTCAAACCCACAGAATACATATATTGCAATAGGTAAATAATGCAGACCCTATTAAAAGTACTCAGTACCCTGTTTTATTGCTTTTATTAGTCATGATCAACAACAAAATTAGGCATTTCTGACTGAAAATAACCTTTCAATGTCAACATAAAAAATTGTTTCTCCAAAATATTGACAAATGCAAATGTTAAACTAAATTCCATCAGAAACGTAATATACCTGAGACATATAGTTAAAACCTGCTTTCAGAAGGTACTTGTAGTCTGATAAATGAGCCTCGTCAGAACGCATGTCCTAATTCATTGAACAGGACACCGTCCTGCCATTTCAAACCCAAGGTCAATTTAAAATGATCACAGCTGTACAACCAGAGATTTGAACCATGTGACAGAGTAGTGGTAACCACTACATCACCGTATTGCCTGCTAGATGCATACCAGCCTGTTGCCTTCTTTCCAGCACTAATCTGAAAAAAAGCTAAGTACTTTTACATTTTTTGCCCCCTCTCTCACCATCTCAAAAAAATTAATAGACTGGTACTCTTCTCAAACTAATACATAATTCTAAAAACTAAAGTAATGAATGAGAAAATGTGCAAATACAAAAAGTAACAAAATACGAAAAGAAGCTTAAGACATGGAAAAATATGTCTGTATCCAGCACAGCCATTAATTATGTTCCTCAATTATGGCCATCTGAGTTATTTGGTAGAAAATAAAAAAATATACTTTATTGTCTGACTGAGAAAGTTGGACTGTCTCTACTGATAATAACACAGCTCCTACCAGTTATTTTGTGCACTTAACTACTGGTGGATGGTATTTATGTTGGCAGATTAAAAAAACGCTTCAGATGCCAAGGAACAGACCATTTTATACCAGCAGGAGGTGAAGTGGCTGATTAAATATTTGCTGCCCTGCAAGCATTGATTTCAGTGTTAAGTTTCACGGTCAGACATACAGTATGTGATGAATGTATACTTTTTGGTATCCAGTGATACTTTATAACAGTAGTAGGCTTCATGTGTCCACTTAATGATTATCAACTCTAATCATAAAGTATTCCCTCAAAGTATCAGCTGAGACCAGGACTGAGCATTGCTTTGCCTTGAGATGAGCTGGTTTGTGTTTTCTAAGAGGTGCGTGGTTCTTAAATCTTTATTCAAAATTCCAAGATTAGGATTCAAGGCCCTCTGGAGAGAATAAGCTGAACGGACTGAAATGATTTCTTGCAATCATGGCTTCTTTTAAAACGATTTAAAACCCAGCACCCAGCTGGCTTTGACAGGGCTAATGAATCCGTCAGGTGGAACACATCTGTTGCGTATCCAATTATTTTAGCTAAAGCGTGCTTTTCCTTCGTACTGGGTCAGTCGTAATTAAATTAACTTTGCAGCGTCTAACTGCGTAATGAGTCTGCTTTGTGACAAACTCCTCAAAGTTTTACCCCACAGAAAGGAGATAAAGTCTTCCACTCACCCTTACAGCGGCTGTACATCATTGCACAAGTCATTTCCTTCTGTGTACTAGAAAGTAGGTGAAAATAATCTTTCCCTTCACGCGGAATTCTATACGACATGAAATGTAAAAACTTCAATTAATATCTATACGGATGGCTCGTCTATTTTCCCTTAAGCCTGCTTGTTACCTGGGAGATAAATATCTCTGCTGAGCTGTGTTTCTTTAACAACAGCTGGAGAGCACAACTATACGGCAGAACGTCTGCAAAGTGAGAGCCTGGTTAGTAAATGTCTTTGGATGATCTTACGTGTGCATCTGCTGGGATCAGAAGAAAAGCCCATCATCCGTCGGCCCGCAGCTGTTTGTGATGAATGTCACCTTCTCTATAAGCCTATTTTGCTGATGGCCTGTCAGGGGAACCAGCTGACAGCTGGACCTTGCAGATGTTTGATGCGATCCCATTCTTGGAATCACAAAAGCAGCACAATTTATATTTGGAAGCAAATATGCTAGGACTCACGCCTTACAGGAGGCGGATGACATCTTGTTATTCTTAATTACAGAGATGATCTCTGTTGGAATTTTAAATTGTTTTTGTCATCTGGAGCATGTCTGTTTAATACGAAGTCACCATCGGCAACAAGGAGAGTAGAAGCAAGAGCAACATGTCTACGAAAAAAAAATCTGATAAGGATAACTGACCTACTTTTATCATAAGTGTGTCAAAAGGTTCATGTTTTATCAAAGGTATGGTATGTTTAGAGTATTTTCAATGTGTTTTATGTAACAGGTTTGTTTCCTGGTCCACACATAAAAATAACTTTAACCTTTGAACCTTATTTGGGCTCCCCAAAGCACTTTGTGTCTTCATCAATCACAGAAGAAACACCCTACAATTATGAACTGAGTGGAACTAAGAATAAATGTGTCCTTTTTTTAGTGTAATTGTACAATCGGAGAATGGTAGGGATGGTTACAGTGGATTTTCTTTCTTTTAATGCCAGGCAATGGGTGGAAGGCACCTATTACACTACACCTCAAAATAACTGCCACTTCCTTTTGCCATTAATGCGGCTTGAACCGCTGCGTGCACCTCCACAAAACATATATCAAAACATGCGGACAGATCTCGGCATGCAAACTACTACTTCTGTTGGCATTTCAAGAAACCATGGCGACGTAATTAGCAAAAAAACGAGCCAAGCTCAAATCAAAACAAACTCTGACACTGATTCAAAACAGAGATAGAATTTTGTCTGCCCCTCTGTGGGTGCGTTCACACTGCAGCCTGAAGTGGCTCAATTCCGATTTTTTGGCAATTCCGATTTTTTTGCCAGGGCTGTTCACACTGCCAGTAAATGCGACCTGTATGCAGGTCGACCTGTATGCGTTCTGCATACAGGTCGCATACAGGTCGACCTGTATGCAGATCCGGGAAAACGGGTCGTTTTCCCGTTTACAACACTTTCAGGTCGTAAACGGGAAAACGACCTGAAAGTGTCCCGCATGGGCAGTGGAGGGCGCAATAGCGTCAGCGTTCTCAGTGTTCTGCCAACCGCCATAAAAAGACAAAGTGCTCAGCCTTTGCGGAGGTAAACATGGAGGCTAACAGTGGAGCTTAGTTTACATATTTGAAGTTGTTGTCCGGCCGGAGCAGCATATTAACAACTTAATTCTCATATAGTCCGTCATGGTTGTTGTTTTTCTTCCCACTTGCGCTTATCAGGACACAGAATAGTGAGATTTGTTGAGAAACAGTGACGTTCAGTTCGGATGAATGCGACCTGAACGTTAGGTCGCATTTGAATCGGATACGTATCAGATATGGGTCACATTCGAAAAAGAATCCAACCTGTGCTGTTCACACTGCCATGAAAAGATCGGATACAGGTCACTTTACGTCAAAAAAAATCGGAATTGAGTCACTTCAGGCTGCAGTGTGAACGCACCCTGGGTCTCACTCACACATGACAGTTTTCATAGAGGATTAGTTACCATAGCAACAGAACACTGAGGAGGGCAGATATGTTGAGAACTACAGAGATGGAGGAACACACAGTTCCTACAGAGGAGGGCAGAGCTTCTAGTTAGAACTAGAGAGACGCCGTCATGGCGGAACACTTACTACAGACAAGTATATATGTTTTATAATTTACCACCAATGACAAAAAATATATGTATTTTCACTTTTCAGCAATATTCACCAACTGCACAATTCTTAAGTAGTAAGTAGTGTAAGATAAGTAGTATTTAAAAAGAGCACAAGAAATCTGTTTTTTGAACAATAGCAGTGTTTGTTGTTAATCTGTTGCTAAGAGATGAGCGCGTTTTCTGGTAACCAAGTGCCACGAAGTAAACTTGATTTTTACTTTTGCAAAATTTACCAACTGTAAATTTCTTGTGACTAAGCAGATAAGCAGTATTTGAAAAGGGCTTATGTTTTATAAACAATAATTAATTTGGTTTTAAGAGATGAGCAATTTTTTCTGGTAAACTGCCACAAAGTATAAATCAGATTTTTACTTTTGTGCTAAATGTCTGTTTTATAACACAGACAATTATTACACAATGATAAAAAGAAAACATATTTTCACTTTTCTCAAAAATTCACCAACAGCACAATTCTTCTTAAGTACAAAGTAACATAAGAAAAGTAGTATTTCAA